CAACACGGGACAACTTGGAACAAATAAAACCATCAAGACTAGGATAGCTAACCAGGAGCTGTCTCGACATCTACAGTAGATAGGCTTCATTCATTTGGCAGCACTTGTTAAATTTTGAACGTTCCTTTTGACTGGTTCTTGTTTGACTTTGCACTGCCTCTTGTCTGTCAATGAAATCATGGTGCATTGCACAGAGCAACCAGACTATGCCATGCCTGGCATAGCCGACAATGCCAAGGCAGGTGGCCATGTTGTCAGATAAGAATGCTTTGCAATGCTGGAAATTCAACAGCATTTTTCTTCTGAAATCAGAAAAGGGTTTTGCTTGGTGCCTGTTGAATAAGCTGCATGTTTCAACAGTAATGTCTTATCTAACTGAAGTTACAGTATGCTGAAGAAACTTTAATAAGAGTTTGACAGTAAAACGTGTCAAGTACTGTTGTGAGGTTTATGCTGCCTAGTTTAAATTCATGTTCAGATTTATTGCCCAGTTTAAAACTTTTTTAAAGTAATAAAAGTAATACAATTATTTAATTATTATAATATAATTATTATTATACTATTTAAGTAATAAAAAAGTAATTTAAAGTAATGTTACATTACTTTGATAAAGTAATTAAAATAGATACATTAGTTATTACATTAACAGGATAACTAGTAATCTGTAACTTATTATATTTCAAAAGTCACTTAACTGACACAATCTAATCTAACACATGAAACACATGAATACAAATGTGGGCAGAGCTACACATATGAATATGACAACTGTGGTGTCACATAAAGACAATCAAACCACTAATAGTTAAATCATCAGAAATACAGTTATCCCTGCACAGTTAAAGGTGTCAAAATGAATAAGCAATTTGATAATAACACACCATTTAGAGCTAATGTTGAGAACTAAAAGCCACTCATGTGTATGCAGAGACCTGGTCCACTGACACTTACTTTTTCTACTTTTTTATAACAACATAAACAGTTCCATTCAAAGCTAAGCATATGCAAGGATTAATTGCCATATGTTAATTACAGGAAAAATTTATATTTTGTGGCTTTGGCAAGAGAACAGCTTCCCAACAGAGAGCTGTTATGCTGTGCTCCTTCTTCATTTCAAAACACCTATTGTAGATATGTACTGTATTGTATGCCTGTTTGCTGACATGGTAGATTCTCTGGCCCGACTGGGAACAGAGTTTTTGTAAATGTACTGTGGCATGTCATCCATACAAGTTACATAATTCATGATAGTGATTTAAAACCAATTTTTGAGCAGTTTTACTGGGTTTGCTATATATGTATTCTCTTGCCTACCCACACTTACAAGTCACCTACCACCTATTCCATTACATTTTTGTGTGTGTTCATGTGTTTAAAAACTGAGTATTTTCACAATGATAGAAAGATAAGCCGAGTCCAAATGGATTGTTCATGGTTTGTTTTTTTAGATGTCATACTCTTAATTACACAGGATCAGGTCTGGAAAATATTGTATTTACATTTAAGTTCTAGTTCACAGCTCATTCTGTATTTGTATGTAGCCTCCCTAGATATAGTATGACTGACC